GTGCGCCGTGTCTTTAGCGTTACACACGATTTTAGCCTGTAAGAGACGAATACGGCAGCAGGTCGGGTGTTTAAAGAGGGAGAAACAAAGATGGGGGAGGAAAGTAAACAAGTGGAAGGAGGACAGGATGGAGTGCAGCCAGTCAGTACCTTTTTCAGAACCTTCATAGCAAAGATTTTTCCTGCTTGGGCTCCTTGGACCTTCCTCACCTGGAACACCTTATAAAAAATGAAAAAGTCCAAAGTCTTGATTTGGTCCTAATTGTGTTGATTTTCTTTTAAATCAGCCAGACTTCCTGTAATCTTTTAGTGATCCACAGCTCGGCAGACTTTATGAAGGTTTTTATTTTATTTTGGCAGCTTCATCACTCAGTTTGTTTTCTTGTATTTTCAGACAAAATATATATTTAGGTTCTTTGTTACCAGCAGCCGGTGACAAAAACACTATTTGTTCCCATTTCTTCAGGTGTGGTAGTAGCTGAGAGTCGCACTGAACACGTACTCTGAGCCAACACATCCTGCGACATTTGTTTTAAAATGCGTCATGAAGGCGGCCAGTGATGGATATTATGCGGACGAACGTTCATACTTGTGCTTTTTGTTATGTTACGAGTGATTGTAAAGAACTTATGCTTCTGAACCCAAATGTATTTAGATTACTTGCAAATAAGAATGTTTTATTTAGACCTTTTGTTGTAACTTCTAATCAAGCAAACTTGGGGGAAAAACATCCAGGAACCTGATTGGCTCGTGGGTCCAATACGTCCAAACAAGAGCCCCGTGTAGATTTATACTCTGTGATTTGCATTTTACTTATTCTTTAAAGAAAATTATTCAGCAAAGTTCACTCTGCTGAACTTGTGAGCTGCAACTGCATTATTATTTGTTCTTTCTTTTATAAATCATCCCAGAAGACAGTTTTATCTTGGCCTTGGAAACTCCACCACTGCATGACGTTCAGAGGCTGTTCGTGTGCTCGGTTAGACCTGAAGCTTCTTATTTTAACACTTCTTTTTCAGCTTGTGTCAATTTTTCAGAACACACTGCTCTATTCAGGATACACCAAGTAGTTTTCATGAACTGTCTGGTCATTTTCAAATCCTCAGACTGTTAAAGTTCAGTCAAATAATGCTGAATACGGTCATTGAAACTGTGTGGAGTTTTAAAAATTAATTTGAAAGCCTGCAGAAAGTCTACAGAACTGACCACTTTCACATTTCTGAGAAATCTGGAGAACAAAGGAGGGTGCAAATGTCACTAAAAAGCAAAATGGCGGTCAGTTATTAACCAGTGTGCTCGGTCACACGCTCACCTTTCCGTACGCTCCTTTACCCAAAACAGTCAGAAGCTCGAAACAGTCCGGCCCGACCCGTTCGCTGTCTCTGTTGACGATCTCACTGGTCAGCTCCACCTCTTCTGTCTGAACGCTGCCAGGGCAACTCATTACTCTGACATCGGCTCAACAAAATAAATTTACTAAAGTGTATGTTTAACTCACTTCTCGGGTTCTGGCCCAGTCGGGTCACAGGCGTCGTCCTATACAAAGAGGGGAGGCGTGATGAAAACAGGGTGGATTTTAAAGAAGTTTAATGTGACGGAGCGACTTTATGCTCCGTCTAAATGTTTATTGATGTTTACTCAAAGTGTCCTGAGAGTGTTTTAGGTTTGTTTAAATTAAGATGTTTACCGAGAGGTCCAACGTGAACCTGAATGAGCTGCAGCGTCTTTAAACTACAAACCTCTGTGTCGCTGACGTCCTCCGTCTCCATGTCGATGTCGAACACCCCCGCCATGCTGAAACACAAACAGGCAAACAATTAACCAGCGAACGCCTCAAGATTAGAAGATTAAACCTGAAGTCTGCTCTGGTTTCACTACAGGCACATCTGAAAAAGTTCAAGTTTTTGTCAGTCACTTCAGAAACTCATATTTTATATTGATTCATAATCAGCTGATTAACTCCAGGACATGAGCTACAAATGTCTCATTCCTCAAGTCCAGCCACTCCTGAACTAGAGACGACGTCACAAGTGTCTTAACTGCTGAAGATAAAACAACTGGACTGTCTCTCAGTGGTTCAACGTCCTCTTTTCAGATTAAAGTAAATGTTCATGGAGTGGAGAGGTCCAGAATCCACGTTGCTTTAAGTCCAGAGTGAAGTTTCCACAGTCAGTTATGGTTTGGGTCCATGGCCACTACTGGTTCTGGTTCACTGGGTTTTGTCCACAGGCAACGCAGCATCTACCAGAACATTTTAGAGACTTCATGCTTCCTTCTGCTGACGAGCTTTATGGAGATGACTTCATTTTCCAGTAGGACTCGGCACCGACCCACACTGACATACTGTAGGTACCAAAAGCTGGCTGTGGAATATTCTAACTTTCTAAAACACTGATTTTTTTTTTTTTTTTTTCAACCTTTATTTATGCGGATTAATCCCATTGAGCCTCGGGGACTCATTTACAAGAGAGACCTGATCTTAACAAAGAATGATGACAACAACAGACAATTATGAAAGAAAGTAAACAAACTGAGAAGAACAAGTGAAAGAAAATGGTATTAAAAAATTAACCAAAACAGCTAGGTTGTAAAGTGGTGTAGAAAACTAAAAACAGGAACACGTCTGCATTGGTTTTTCTCATGAACTTAGCAGATGTTTGAAGCCACTTAGAAAGGTCAAGGTCGAGAGTTTCAGATCTTTTTGTAAGATATTCCAAGAAACAGGAGCGGAGTAGGAGAAGGCCCTTTTGTCTAGTTCAGTCCTCACTGAGGGGACACTGCAGGTAATGATGTCCTGAGAGCGCACGCTGTAGCTGCACTCACGCAGAGACATGTAGTAGATGTATGAAGGCAGCAGACCAAGAAGTGATTTAAAGATGAAAATGTACCAGTGAGAGAGTCTGCGTGAAGTTAATGATGTCCAGTTAACCAGTTAATACAGGGTGGGTGCAATGGTGGGGACGGTAGTTACAGCCAGTTGTTTGTTTTTTTTTCATTATTTGTAAGTTATAATCATCAAAACTACAAGAAATAAAGTCTTGAAATATTTCACTCTGTGTGTAATGAATCTATGTAATAAACGAGTTTCACTTTCTGAAATGAATGATGGGAAAAAAAAAACTAACATTTTCACCATATTCTATTTTTTTAGAAGCACCTGTGGAGACAGTCTTTACAAAACCAGCAGGTGATGGGATTCTGTAACCAACTAAACTTAGGTTGTTTCAAAACAAGAATCACATGCACTTTTATTAGTCTAGGACTCCAGTGTGTTGCACGATAAGGAAAGAACTATATTGATCTCGCAGATGGTCAAGAATAACTATATCTGTATAATCTAATATACTGATAATATATCTAGATATATAGATATGCACTAATATCTACAAACATCTTAGAAACATCAACATTTTGATTAAATCTGGTACATCTAATTATATAAACAGGTTACTAATTTAAAATTTGCTCACTGCCTTAGTGAGTGAAAAGCGTCTAATTGCCTTTGTTAGCTAAAATGCATAAAACAATAACTTGAATTCATTTGTCATCTCCAGCATCTAGGCCACAAAACATCTGATTAATAAAATCCAAACCTCCAGACTGAAAACCTCTCACTCAAACATCCAAACAGAACAGAGAGAAGCCTGATGGGCGCAAACTGTTACAAGTTCAGGAGTCGTAGCGGTTGTAGTTCAGGTGGAGCACATTGTTTGGCGGTTACAGACACAAAGAAAAGTCCAGTCAGCATCCAACAGGACAGAACCTGAAAAAGTCGAGCGTCGCAGCATGTTGTTCGTTGATAGGGCCACGCCTGAGAGCTCGCTGCTGCTCAGCCTCTTTTAACGTCCTAATCAGAATTTTGTCTCTTTAAATTTGGTTTCTGAGCGGCCAGACATCGTTGTAATATTTTAAAGCAGTCTGAAGGTCTTTTGAGATATTAATCTGGACTTTGGCTGCTTTTCAGTCCAGAACTGGACTATTTTCAACGAGATGTTTGTTTCATTTGTTTGGCTGCTTAACTCCGACCTATGAATCATCTGACAACAGAATGGATGAATCAGTTGTGTTGACACAAAACAGACCGACACAAAGAACTGTAGGTTCCTATTCCTTTAGTTGAATCTGCAAATAACACTAAATATAACAGTCTGACCAACAGAAATTTGGAATTTTTGCATCAACAGGGTGATTCTCAAAGAGCAGTTAGCTGAAAACTTGTCAAATCTTGAGAAAAACTAACTAAATACTAGAGTAGATCAGTTGTATGTCAAGTTTACAGCTAGCAGCTCTTAGGAAATCATGTTTGCTTTGTTTTTTTAATAAAAAGTTTTAAATATTTTCTTTGTTTGTTAAATTTCTTTTATTTGCATTAAAAAAAATCTATGAAAATGTGGGCAATATTACAGACAGAGCTATTGTTTGGCTTGACTGAGCCAATTTCAAGCTAAGATTGGGACAAATTTAACTACTAAATTTCACCATTAGAATAAAGATTTAACAAACCGTGTTTTAATGAGACTGTATAATCTGTAATAATTTATTCCAGGTTTTACATAACGTAAAGATTGAGATATGTTTTATTTAATTGTTAAAAAAAAAAAAATTAAGTCATTTTTCATGATATTTTACAGTTTTAATTAAAGTTTTCCAAACCCCAAAGTGCATTTTTAAGAACCTTTACCTTCTGTAGGATACTCTATATTTAATTGATAATTTCAGGTATATTTCTTATAATCTGGAGCCAGTTTAATCTGGTCTAGAGACTAAAAGAAATGAAATGGCCCTTTTAATCTGAAGTTCTCCCTCGTTAGATTCAAATAACAACAGATAATTTAAGTTTCCCTCTGTGTATTAAACCCGTTTTATTTTACAGGGTCTTGGATCAGATAATAAAAAAAAAACAGAAATAACTCCAGTAACATTTGAAGTGACTGCCCATGGAGATAAAACTATTATTATTCATTAGTTATTAATGTTTCTGGATTAGCAGCCAGGATAAACACAAACAGAGCGTGAACATAAAGGTGGGTAACAGAGATAACACCCTGAACCAGCTGTTATCCTCACCAAACAGCTGAGCTGATACAAGCTGTTTGTCAGAAAGTAGCTAACAGCTAACAGCTAGTTTGACAGGTAGGAAGCCAACAAAGCCAAAATTAAACATGCTAACGCTAACAAGACTTTCACCTGTGAATAAAGTCTCCTTCCGGCGGATCTTCGGTGGTCTCAGTCCGTCGCTGTAAAGATGAAAAAGTTTTTAATCACAGTGACTCGTGTCTGTCATGGCTCTTCAGTTAACAGATGATAAAAACAGAGTTTGGCGGCTCCTGTCACTCACACAGCAGCCGGAAACAGCTGCGCGCTGAGGACGTACGTGGTCACGTAAAGGCTCAACTTTACGCACCTGCGTCATCGAGCGGGGCGGGGCTACAGGAAAAGGAACCAAAACAAACTCTTTTTTTTTTATCATTTGATGAATGAACAAGTCTCTTCAAGTGTTGTTGATATTGTGTGATTTAGTTTTTTTTTATTTATATAATTTTATATATGTTTATTTGTTTACTTATCGTATTTATTTATTCCAATCATTTCTAGATAGAGGTGTATTGACACTAAAAACTGCTGTTGGGTCAGTCTGACCAATGGTTGGGTCAAAAAGACTGACCCAGTGGTTGGGTCAGCTTCACTGCCCACCATTTAAATAATTTCAAATGTTACACAAAAAATTATTTAACTGCATGAAAGTAATGTTTCTTAAACAGAAAATGGAAACCCGAGCCTTTTGACGATCTTTTGTGTTTATGGTAGTTTATTATTATTATTATTATTATTAATGTGCCTATCCTTGCTTATGATCTGAAAGGACGGATGTATATTTCAAAGAAGAAATTAATTCTACTTTATTAATATCTAAAAACATTATTGATAACTTCAGATCCTGAAGTTGAATGGGCAGCCTTTTCCTTGTATTTAATATTTTTTACACAAATAAAAAATACTCTCTTCTCCTTATCCAGTATGAACATTTTTTATACTTATTATTAATACAAAAAATAAAAATGGACAATGCCTCATGTGAAAGCACAAACACTGCATTCTGATAAGGTTGCTAAATGTTGTTTTAATTTTAATTTAATATTTCTACAAAAACAATATGACTCCTTCAGAAAAGCTGCAAAAGGAAGCATAAAAAGGCAATTTTTAAATCCCACAAATACAGCAGAAAATAATTACATTAATATTGTGGGAAGTTTTTTTTATTTATTTACTTGGCAACAGTTCAGCAAATCAGGCCAAAAACCATTTATTTTAAAGTGTACTTGTTTCCATTGTATCTGTGTTGTTGTTTTTTTTTTTTTTTTATTTAGTGTTACTTTCACATTACCTGCCAGTACAGTGAATTTTATTTCCTGTGAATTTTTGTTTTAACTCAAAGCACATTTTAATATAATATTTAATAAACAAAACTCGTATCTGTAATAAATGTTCATTACAAACAATAAACAATAGAAAATGTTAAGCGAGAGGAAAACTTGCAAACTAAAATGAACACATTTAACTTAAAATCAAAATAAAATAAATAAATTTAAAAAATCAAATACATAATAAAAATCCGACATTGTAAATTTCAAAATAAAATTTCCAAGAACTGTTTATGTTTCTGTGATAAAACCTTGCCATCCGCCAGGTGAAATAAGGAAATCTAGTTGTGTTGAAAGCTGAAAGAGGCTGAAAGAGGCTGAAAGATACGTGGGCTTTCAGTGGAAACAGTGGGTTCTGAATGGTTAAAGGATGTGGTCTGGTCGAAGTGTCAAAAACTCAAAACAGAATCAACAACATGAGGACGTGCTGCGTTACCACCATTCTTATCTGTAAGTAACAAATTAGCCTAATTTCAGCTGCTTATACACAGAAATGTAAATTTAAAGTAAATTCAAGTTAAATCATTTGGACGGACTGATGAGAAGAAAAGATCCACGAGTGGCATGAAGTCTCTCTTACATTTTCATTTGATTATTTCTAATATTTTTATTATTATTATAGTCTTTTTCTGTCTCTTTGGGAAATACAAGTCTTCCCCTGCACATATTTATTGTGATGTACCTCAAGGGTCTATTTTGGGCCCTGCTCTGTTTGCTTTAAACATGCTGCCTCTGGGGCACAGAGGACCAGTTGGTAGAGCTGTCGCTTCTCAGCAAGAAGGTTGTCAGTTAAACACCTGACTCTGAGACTTTCTCTGGATGGAGTCTGCGTGTTCTCTCCATGATTTCAAAGATTTTCATCCGGTACTTTGTTTTCATCCCACAAATTGAAAACATACGTCTTCTTACACTGGTAACTTTAAATCATTCGTAGGTGAGAGTGTCTGAGCAGTGGCACCTCCACGTATTATTTTATGGGTGGCCATTGCCCCTGTGTGCTTCCCCTTTATGGCGCTCCTGTGTGTGAGGTGTTCACTGGCTTTCCTTGTTTTATGGCGGTCTTTAGAGTCCAGATCCACAAGTTGTCAGGAATCGTTTCAGATACAATGAGTTGAATTGTTGAATCTGCATCTTGTGTTTAATAATTCCACTTTGTACCATTCATTCTATACTTTATGCTTTTTTTACTGGTATTTTTTCATTTGATTAATGTATGCATTAACATCTTTGTTTGCTTCTGTACTGTTATATTTTATTTTGGTGAAACAAATCTGTTTGGCCCAATCTAGGTTTTATGACCATGACAGGGTTTTTGGGGCTGTTTGCCCCAGCTGCTGAGGTCCAACATGTCCACTTTGGTTCTAACGTCACTCTGGGCTGTAACGTCTCCTACCTCTACGGCACAACGTGGCTGAAGCAAAACCCAGATCTCACGCCAACCGTGGTCCTCTGTGCTAGCCTCAGAGCAGGCCGACCAGCCGAAGGTTTAAAATATATATTCGTTTTGAATGTTAAATCAAAGAAGATCCTTGTATTTGTTGTGCCAGAGCTGTATTATGTCAACACTAATGACGGCAGGTGTGTTTTCTCAGGTTTCCAGCTCAGCCCTCGGCACTCGGCGAGCCTGATGAACCGGTCTCTGGCTCTAAGGATCGCTGGGGTTGAAAAAGGAGATCTGGGCCTTTACTTCTGTATTGCAAATGTAAACACACGTGTGATAGTTGGAAGGGCGACCAGGCTTTACGGTACGCTCATTTAAAGAGATGTTTTGTGATTTTGATGCAGAAACCTGAGATTTGTAGATTTGTTTTGTAAAGATATTTAGATCCGCTGATTGTCACACGTTTTGATGGCAGACCTTTTTTCTCCACAACTGCCTTTCCTTGAAGTTTTTTGTGTTTTCATTCTCAAAATCTTCCTCTGCTGCCTGTCTTTGCTCCAACTTTACATCCTGGGGATTCGGCCAACATGCTGAAGCTTAGATGTGGATGTAACGAAGCTTCTCTGAAACTGCCACAATCTCACCAACAACCAATTAATATACAGGCAGCAAAACTGGATATACTGTAGACACCAGTCATCCCCATGGATGGATGGATGGATGGATGGATGGATGGATGGATGGATGGATGGATGGATGGATGGATCGATGGATGGATGGATGGATGGATGGATGGATGGATGGATGGAAGAACAAATGGATGGATGGATGGATGGATGGATGGATGGATGGATGGATGGATGGATGGATGGATGGATGGATGGATGATGGATGGATGGATGATGGATGGATGGATGATGGATGGA